GCTAACCCCTCCCCTTCAGACCGACCCCAACTATCCATTCACCACCACCAGGGTCAAGCTAAGCCCCTCCCCTTCAGACCGAACCCAACTATCCATTCACCACCACCAGGGTCAAGCTAAGCCCCTCCCCTTCAGACCGACCCCAACTATCCATTCACCACCACCAGGGTCAAGCTAAGCCCCTCCCCTTCAGACCGACCCCAACTATCCATTCACCACCACCAGGGTCAAGCTAAGCCCCTCCCCTTCAGACCGACCCCAACTATCCATTCACCACCACCAGGGTCAAGCTAAGCCCCTCCCCTTCAGACCGACCCCAACTATCCATTCACCACCACCAGGGTCAAGCTAAGCCCCTCCCCTTCAGACCGAATTGTTTTGTCATCTTTTTTGTATTTCTTGTGTATATAGCACCTGCATTTGTACTCTGTATTTTCTCCTGTTATATGTGTGGGCAAAACCAATAAATAAAGAGTTAAAAAAAAGAATGTGCTCCGGGTGTGTGTGTGGGACTGACCTCGGCCTCCTTCAGTCGTCTCTCGAACCATCCCTTGGTTCCCTCCATGGACAGAACCTGAGCCTGCAGCTCCTCGACCCTCTGCTGCAGCCCCTCCAGCGCCTTCGACCGCGCCTCAAACACACACACACACAGATATAAGAACCATACATGGACACTACCATTTATCTGTGATGACACATGATACACAGACACTTGTCGAACGTCTTTCCCCAGATATTTTGGCCCTTCTTCCTACTCCGTTTACCTTTTCCTCTCTCAGCTGCTGTCGGATCTCCTCCTCGGAGCGGTTCTTGTCTTCGTGAAGGCCTCGGAGCTCCTTCTCATATCGAGCCCTCACCCCGAGGACCTGAGAGGGGAGGAGAGGAGAGGAAACAAGGAGATGAGAGGGAACAGAAGAGGCCACAAGGACAGGAGAAAGTACACAAGGAGAGGAAACAAGAACAGAAAAACCATGAGAGGAAACGAGAAGGCAAAACAAGTAGAGGAGAGGGGAGGAAAGAGTAAGAGGAAACAAAAAAAGGGAAGCAAGAAGCAACAAGGAGAGGAAACCAAATGTATCAAGGAGGGGAAACAAGGAAAGGAGTGGGAGGAGATGAGAAGAGATCATGTCTCAAACTTAGACTGTATTTATAAACCCCCTCACCTCCTTCTCGTGCTGCAGTTTGAGGTCAGACAGCGCCTCCTTGTGGTCGGACTTCTCCTGCATCAGCTGCACCGCCATTTCATCCAGCATGGCCTTCCTCTTCTCTGCCGTCTACACACACACACACACACACACACACACACACACACACACACACACACACACACACACACACACACACACACACACACACACACACACACACA